CCCCCCCCCCCCCCCCCCCCCCCCCCCCCCCCCCCCAACTTTCCGCTTGGCCCCCCCCCCCATTTCGAAAACCTGGCTACGCCACTGTTCTTAAGTAGTCAAGATCATTGTAAGCCAAGTATTAGTGAAAAATTGTAGTGTTTATTCCTTGCATTTTTAAAACTTATTTTTAATTTAAATCAGATCAATAAGTATTTGTTGATTTTTCTTAATGCGAACAAAGGCTAACTCATGAATAGCGAAGACGTTAAATGGATGCAAGAGAAGAAACTTTCATCGATGAGCCAATGAAGAGCTTAGTTTATTTTGTGTCCATATTTTAGTGGCGAACCAAATCGATAGCATTAAAATTTTCGCGCCTAGCGATTTTTGCTCCCGCGGTCCCCCTATCCCGGTTTTTTTTTTCCCATTCATCAAGAAATTCGGAAAAATCACTGTACTACACAGGACAAATTAATTTACTCATAGGTAACAGATTCAACTTTTTTTTCTACCAATAACAACTTAATTGAATGAAACTGAAGTATTGAAACGTCCAAGGGAAAATCAAGCTAAAAATGAAAAAAAAAAACAAAATTCACACAACTCTCGTGCGAGGTTGGTTCTCACGTGACTATTCCTTACTGTGCCCTAGATATCGTAGTTTGCCCTTCAGAGGTACTCCTCAAAATATTCTCCTGTGCACAGGGCTTCATTACAGTTCTAATTATCCCTTACTTGTACTTGCAAGCAACACCTACCGTGAAATAAACTTCTTCAAAATCAAGAAATATTCACGAGCATCATGAGAGAAGAGGGAGATCGGCCAAAAAAGGACATTTCTATGGTATTAGGTGCACGTAACTACCCAACGGACCATGCAAAATGTTCAAAAGTATTCACAATTAATCGTATTACACTTACGAACAAGGAGGCGTTTGTTGTGATACTGTTCGCTCTGTGCATTAGTGGTGACGCTGTTCAGCAATGACTGAATTTAATTGATGAAATGACCTGGTCATTTGAATTAAATGCTTGGAGAATCGATCCATCGAATAAATAAAAAAATCTATTGATCATAATTTATCGTTGTCGTTGATCATTTGGTTCCGTAGTCAGGAGCGTTTTAAAATCACCCGTTTGAGGTTTGTCTCAATCTTCTGGCTTCGGTATCTCAGCATTTGGAAAGGCCAAATAACCAGGGCCAGTCTTGGAATGCTATGAAAATTCCATGGCTCAAAGACATTAAAAGATTTTTTTATGGAAGTGATACCAGACAGTTTTTTCAGTAAATTTTATGAAAAAGGTATACGAATGGGAGAAATTCTTGTGGAGAGAGATATACATGCTCACGCTGGCACTTTATTTGGGGGGGGTGCTTGCGCTACTGTGCCATTCCATGAAAGTGTCTGCGTTCATTGTCAGTATTTAAATACAATTCAACGCAATTGTAGGTATACCTCGACGATTAATGCCAGGTCCCAGCTTACAGCCCAAAAGATGCGTGTATTGCATATAATAAGCCCGATTATAAGAAGAACCTTGGTTTTAGCGAAGTCATTTCCTGCTTTGACAAAATGAACAGCGTTGTAAAGTTACTAGATAATTCGTCATTGTGCTCCCCAATAACTGCAATTTAAATCGTTGGGAACATTTTCCCTTGGCTTCCCCTAGCTTTATCTCTTATGGAATCTGCATTCCTGGAGGATCTCGTTTGTGTACAGTGTTGCTTAACTGTAGGAGGGTGGAGGGAGAGAAAATTCCCCCACTCACTAAACGATCTTAATTCTAATCTTCAGTTGCTATTCATGGTTTTTTGTCGACAGCATGACTAGTTGAAAGCGGAAAAGGCGAGCCTTCACAATAGAGCAGAAAGTGGACGTAAAAAATAAAGCAGGCATTTGTCGTGAACTTGGAATTCTGAGCTAATCTTTTCCACAATTTGGGAGATAGTAACCTCGTTTATGACGAACTTCGACTATGGCAACGTTTCTGGTTCCTTCAATGACATTATATACGAGTTCGACTTGATGCACGAAGTCAGTCTATAAGGTTGTCATTGGAAAGTTGCAAAGCTGCAGAGTATGGAAATCAATAGAGATTACTTTGAAGGCTTTTTACGCTGCAAATGAGCTTTCCGTTGCCAAGGGGAATCGTATGGGATTTATATATTTTTTAACCTGTTCACAACTAGACTTTATCGGGTGCCTCCCCTTAAAAAAAAAAAAAATATAGAAAGTCGAGAATTGTACGTGGCTACCGGCAGAGTACCATGCGAGATATTAACAGGAAAGTTACAATGCCGTACTTCCTACGTGCGAAGATATTTTCACGAAATTTTCAATGTAGGTTTTAGAATCCAAATAAGAGCTTTGTCCCCCTACTCGATATCTAATTAACTAGTGTAAGCGTGAGAAACGTGGCTGCTTCCCTCGAGCACCATCAGACTCGCTTAACTCAGTCGAGCGGGAAGGGCAGAAATTCTTGCTGAAAACTTTTGCGATGTCTGGGGAAGCAATTAGGCTCCGTCGCCGCATTGTCCATTTTCTGTCTCATCATTTACTGAGCATTGAAGTGTCATTCTGTCCTCACTCAAACACGATATGAAGTTGTCATACGTGCTGTTTAAAAACATGTATACTGGAAAATAGGTCTATTTCATTCGCTGCTTGAAATGTTATAACTTTTCAAATCTAAAGTAAGCCAAATAATAAAAGTTATTAATTGTACATATAAAAGTTTCTCCTGCTAACATTCCACGAGCCTCAGTTTTTTTGCACATATTTCAGATGAATGGAGAGTAAGTTAGGCCTGCAGAAAATTTAAATGTTAGAGAGGACATATGTGATACACTTGGCGAGGAGCTGCCATGTGTAGATTGCTTCTTCACTGCGTATTTCGGTTCTTAAACTTGGAAAAGTTATTGCAATTGAAGGTGGAATCTTTCGAAACATGTCGGATATCTGAAACGTGCAGAAAAACAAGGACCCGTATGTTATGGAGTGGCGATTTGTGCCTTAAAAAAATATTAACTTGCGCATTTTTTGGCACAGTGTAAACATGGAATACTTTCGTCTAGGACGCTTACTTTGCACCTTGGCCTATTATACAGCAAAAGTATTCAATTTTGTAGCACATTGCCTACCGCCCACAGGCTGTGCGGCTCCATGACGAAAACTTTGGGCACCCCTGCTCTGGGCTGCCCTCCGTTACCGTGGAATGGCCCTGCTTCCTTTTATGTCCATAACAATGCTCACCTTTTTACAATGCGTTCTTGTCCATTCTACGCCGAAGGCTTTTGAATGGAAAGTCTGATTTTGTACGCGGTCATAAAATGAGTAGTGCAGTTTTACGGTGGTTGTGACTGTTCTTCCTATCATCCTGAATTCTGGTGTCTTCCTCCCAAATTCTGTGATGTTCTTGCCTTTTTTAGTATACGGATGGCTTCCCGGTGAACTTTACGAAGAGAGGACTCTGCGATACGAGTCGGAATGGAAGTTAGATTCAATTAAAGAATTGGGAGCTTTGAGCTCGCTTTATGCAGCGTAGACCGTCCAGCTTTTCGGACTACCGTCGCAAGAATAGGGTGCAAGGAGAGGGAGTCAAGGGTGGAGCGGGGAAGGAGGAGCGAGAGATGAGGGTAGCAGGGTCTCCGTTCTTCGGAGTGCTTCTCCTTTCTCCCTCTCCCAGCCCCACCTCATCCTCATGCCTTTTCCCTGTTCCCGCTCCTTCGTCTCATCCTGACTTCTCCATACAGTCCAGCTCACATGAGACATGGAGTCTGTAATTTCGATTCCTTGTCAAGGGCATATGTGAGGACGATGAGACCTAACGTACCTTCGTGACTGTAGGTGTCTCCACGGGTCCCTTCCCGGTCTCCTCTTTCTCTCTCTCCCGCTCTCTCTCTCTCTATCCATCATGTGTCTCACTCTGCCTTCCCACCGGTCTCTCTCTCTCTCTCTCTCTCTCCCGCTCCCCCCCCCCTCTGGTTCCTTTACAGTGGTTCGATCGATTTCCAGCTATTTTTAGAGCCGCCTTTCCTTCTCACTGGTCTCCCTCTCTCCCCCGCCCTCTCTCACCCTCTTGCTCCGTCTCTCGTTCCTCTTCCCTTCGCCTCTCTCTCTCTCACGCTCTCGGAGACACATCGTCACATGCCGGCAAGGATATCCATCCTTCGATGCCGTTTCAGTGTTGTGACATGGAAGCCACTAGCCCCCCCAATGAGAGCACATAGCTCACATTCTCATCTTTCACTGTCGTCTGCTTTCAGTTAAAGGAATCCTGGGCTATAATCAGATGATGACTAATCAATTATGAGTCATGTGAATTTGACAGCTACTGGGGAGCCCACGTCTTGAGAAGGGGATAGGGATTTCGCGACGAGGAACTAGATCCTTATCTCACGGTCAAGCGATCATGTTTCTGTATGGCTACCTGGCCTCTTTTGAGAATGTTCTTGATCTCTGCCCCATGACTGACTCCTTCAGAGAGCGAAACTGCCCGGCGCGATATTTATGCTGTCAACCGATGAGAATCTTGGGAATATGGATCCATGGAAGGAGAAGATGCTTGGAGTTGGAATAGACCGAAAAGTTTTTACACCTTCGACAAGTGTGTGGATGTGCCAATGTCGTCCACACAGAGAATGAGCCGAGAGCAGTCCACCATTCAATGAAATGCATATGGAAAGCAAGCGTTGCCCTCACTTGAGTGCTTGCTTGGAAAAGTCATGGAGTAGGCAGGCAATAGAATGTCGTGACCTCGACCAAGGTTCTTCCACAGCCCTAAGGGTCGTCCCCTCATCTTCCAACTGCAAATATCAATTTAGTCTACTTTCTATTTTCATGTTGCCCTGAAATCCGACATGTCCATGCCAGGGAAACCGGCTAGAGACAGTGATGGATTGGAAGAAAGCTGTGATTTTGTTGGTCTCGAGTGCACCTCACATCTCTCAGCAATCGGTCCATTTCATTTTGTCCTTTGAGATGCTGCCTCATGTCGTTCCTCTTGGAAGTCCTCATTGCTGCCTACTTCTTGCCCTTACAATCGATGAAAATAACTCTTGGCAAAGCACTGTGTATGGGGTGGGAGGGAGACCGGAAATACGCCTCGAAATTAGTTTTGCCTCATACTTGGAGGAACTGACGGAGTTGTACGATAACTATAAGAAGGCAACAGAGTACTAAGGAGAGGAAGGGTATTAGTCGCTATCGGAGGTGTGTATTCTATATTTTCTGTATGCGGAACTAGACCCCTCCTAGTAATTCCTAGTAATAAACGAAAGGTCATTCAATCGGTTGGATTGGATGATTACGCAACAACACACCACTATTCTTTTTAAAAATATTATTCATGGTTGTTATGGTGTAGATTAGCTCTCATTAGTAAGTGTGGGAGTGAAATTAGAACGACATCCTTGCTCAACGTGACCAAGAATTTTAAGAAATGGAATAAGTTCTCTCGTGAAGCCAGGTCAACTAGGGTGCTAAGAGTAACAGCAACTTCAAGAGACACCAAGCCTTAACATATTAGATAAGCTGTGGCAATTCTTATCCAATCATTTAAGTAGTTCTGTGTTCCTTTCAAAAATGTATTCCATGGTACAGAGAAGTCGAAAAGAACTGAGTACTCCGCAAATTGATTGCTGGATTATGCCCCTGACGAGATTCCTGCACAACTTGTAGGCCCATTAAGGTCAGGAATGCAAAACAGCTGTTGAAGTGGAAAATCTAGAAACGTCAAAAACCTGAAGAAAGTCTTTTAGTTCATGGAGTGACAACATTAGGTCATTCAATCATTAGTGGATCCCTAATCATGGATCCTAATCATGGATCTCTAATAGAGATGTAATGTTTATGTTTCTCTCCTATGGCTACTTATAAAATAACCTTTGATCATGTGCTGTATTTTGGAATGACGGTTTTTGCTGTCTTGCAGGAATTCTATGAGCATTGCAGAGTCTTGTGGGAAGACAGAGGTGTTCGTGCTTGCTATGAGAGGTCAAATGAATACCAACTCATCGATTGTGCCAAATAGTGAGTGCTCATTGTATTCTCATTTCCCAAATCTTTCCCCCTAACCTTATCAATATTTGGCTAAACTACTGATGTATCTTGATTTGATGCAAAAGAAGGTGATGTTTGCATTCCTTTTACATTACTAATTACAGTTCAGCTCTGTAAACCAGTTTTTTTTATGTGCTCTGCTTGGAAACACAGAACAGTGATTCATTATACTGAATGGCCCTTAACAGCTTTCCATACTCATTGCTCACATTCATGCCAGCACATGAACTTTGTAATTTGCACACTCATTTTCTTTGCCAAGATATGTCCAAAGTGTTTCTCCTGTTATGGTTCATTATGTGAGAGATCTGCAAGTTAGTGACTGGGAATCATCTTTAAGTGTTCTTTTTCTAGTACCTAATCCTGGCTTGCATAATTTCCCCTTGCCAGCAGCAAGGGCTTTTTGAGGTTTGATGAGTGAAGAGAACAGCCTAGCCTGTGAAAAGTAAAAAAAGAACTGTCTACTACTCCCCCTGTGCAAGTTTCCATTTATTATCCCTATTGTACGAGTTTGTGTCACTTATCATAATACCCTAGATTCACCTTTGCATTGGCATACCCATGCAGGCTTTTGGCTGTTGGGAGGGTGGGGTGTGAAAAAATGTCTGGCTGATGAAGGTGGAGGGAAAATTTTCAAGGAGCATTAAACATATAAATAAATATAGGTAATTACTGAAATAATATTGATAAATGATGTTGGAGTTGTCTCTATGTTGTGTATGGGGATGTCAAGGAGGCCAGAACTGAAAGTATTTAGAATCCAAATGAAAACAGGCAGCAAATATTACCACACCTATTTCAATAAATGAAGTAATCTTGCTTCAACTCATTCTGGGGGTGTCCTTTTTTGAAATCTCTTGTACCAGCTTAGTGGAGGAGAGGATAAAAGCGTCAGTTCACAAACGGTCTCCTATTCTGGGACATTTTCACATTTTCTGCATTCCTATAAAACGTATGAAGGAATTTTATATTCTTCAATACTCACTTCCATCATATTTTGGCCAAAGTTCTGGCATTCATTTTTCAAGATGGGAGATCAAGCTAAATTGTCCACAAATAGGCACCCGTCCATTAACTGGTGCCTTTACCCTACTATATAGCCCTTAAAATTAACAATCCAACATGGTCTTAATGATGAAGCCTTGTGAAGTGATTTTTAAAACAGAGGTGTGAATGGACCTTGACAAAGTGAAGTTACACACTAAACTCCTATAGGCAGCAAAAAGTTTGTTCTCTGGAGTACTGAACCAATCGGAATGCATGAGGCAGATGCTGACTTGTCCATGAAGTGCTTAGAAATGTTGTTATGCTTAGGTAACCTGGTATGATTAGCAAAAAAAATAAGATAAATAACTGAAAAGTAGAAATTCTGCTGTGGGATCATAGCCTCAAAAAGGAGATTGACTTGGTGCAACATTGTATTGTCTGTGAAGGTGTTATCAGTAGGTGGATATTTGAACTTTATAAATGGTACCTGTACATGAGGTATTTGTATGCAGATTGTGGCATCCAATACCACAGTATATTTGAGCCTAATATTTGTGTTTCTTCCTTCCTCGGTGCAGCTTCTTGGACAAAGTCTCAGTTTTTGCTGATCCCAACTATACACCGACTGAACAGGTTGGTATTAAAGTGCTGATCTTTCTACTCTCAGTTGAGATTTTTTTGAAGGCTTCTGCTAGCATTAACTTTGGAAATGTATATTGCTTGCAATTCTCATTCTGATTTTCAGGATATTCTCAGATGTCGAGTGTTGACATCAGGAATTTTTGAAACCAAGTTCACTGTTGATAAAGTGCATTTCCAGTGAGTGCATCTCTTGGTCAAACTACATAAGTTTTTGAACTATTTTATGTCCAAGGATAATTTTTGGAACCTAAAAATCTCTCTTTCAGCATGTTTGATGTGGGTGGGCAACGTGATGAGAGGCGGAAATGGATCCAATGCTTCAATGATGTGACAGCCATAATTTTTGTCACAGCCTGCTCTTCTTACAACATGGTCCTCAGAGAAGATCCCAATCAGAACAGGTTGAGGGAATCCATAGAGCTCTTCAAAAGCATCTGGAACAATAGGTAACAGTATTGCTTGGTATTATTAAGGGTTAGCATATGCCTTCTCATTTTCATGATTCATGGTTTTTTTTAACATTCAACTATTATAACTATAACCTCAAATGCAGATGAGATAATCTTTAGTTGTTGGCTTTTGGTTCCTTCATATAGGTTTCACCCAGAAAAATGAGTCACAACTCTGGTACCAGAGTTGCGAATAATTTTTGGTACAGTAAATTTGCTCATATCACAAAGGATTTCAGATAGGCAAAGGACCAATTATGCCATCAATCATGACCTTATTAAGTTGGCCAATCAATCTCTTTTGAACAATGTGGGTGAGAGGAAGTGAGGTCTGTTTGGAGGGGCTTTTCTGAAAATTTGTAAATGAAGTGTGAAAGCTTTTTTGGTGTACAACACAAGTTCTCAGCCCTATTTGTCACTCAATCTTCGTTATCACTTCCTGAGTGGTGAGGAGATCCTCCTTTTGAGGTATGAGCAAATGTACTATTAGTGGTGTCATTTATAGTGATTCTTTTCATTTCCATTGGAGGTAAAGAGAAAATACTCACTGCACTAAGCAGTAGCAAGTAGCAGTAGCACTAAGCAAAACAGTAGTTGTGGCCTAAATCAGGGGATTTAGGCCACAACTACTGTTTTGGTCACAAGGAAAAAGTAAGAAAATATGTAATTCCTAACCACAAGTTAACTTCATGATCCAGGGGTCCTAGAACTTAGGGTCATATGGGATATAGTCATTCAGAGTTAGTGTGATCAGTATCTGTTCCTGGTACTTATGAGTGCAGTGTGCTATTAAAGTATGCTTAGAGAAATACCCTGTCTTGCCAGTCTTGACTTGCATATCCTGTCAAGCTCTACTGCATTAACTGAGATAAATTTGCAGGTTAATTGAGTGCTCTCACAATTCTAGTACTTGTTCAGCACACTCATTTCAGCTTTCCCTAAGATATTAGTATTGTTGAATAAAAATCAATTTTTGGCAATCCTGGCAAAGTAGATTCCATAGTGTTATCAACCTTTTCCTTTTTGGAGTTCCATTCTTGCTAATCATGGACATAACAAGGCTGATCACACATACAGGGTATCTCAAAAAAAATGTATACACACTTTAATAATAAATAAATATATGTTAAGTAATTCAGATAGGTACAATGTTCAGTGTGTGGAGAAGGAAGGGTTTGAATTGCATGGTTCACTACCACAGATGTTCAAATTGTTCACTGTTAGCATCCAGTCACTGTTGGCAACAGTGCAACAAACTTGTGGACAGGTTTCTGCTGGGATAACAGCACAGGACTCCTCAATTTCATGCAATCGTGTGAATGCTTGCATTGCGACAACAGCATTTTCCCCACCTGTTGATGTGTGAGGTCTATCAGAACTCTGTTGTGCATTACCATACTAGCAATGTTCTGGGAGACCATGCACTGTACCATCAGCATCAAACTTATGAATCCTTGAAAGTTCTAGTACATCATGGTGGCATAGTTGCAAGTTCATTTCTCCACCTTCTTTGTACTTCACATGTGTTCTCAGATTTCCAGAATCACTCTTGCTTCAAGTTTGTATACATTTTTTTGAGACACCCTGTACTCATGAAATCAGGCATGGGGTTAAATGTCATTATTCCTAATGTCTTTTGTCTGGTATTTGTAGGTTAGAGCTTCACTCAGAGACTAATAATCACCTTTGTCTCTGAAGTTGAGGCCACTCTTTCTTGATAGGATTTCCCTGTCACTTTGATACATTGTATATCAACATATACACAATTCATACACTGGACTGGATACAATGGACATACACTACAGCATGAGGAATGGTCTTGGCATGTGCAACTCTTCCAAAACAATTTTCTTTTTGTCAGATTTTATTCTGCCATTAGGCACAGCTGAGAATTAGTCAGTAAAGAAGAGTGAGGAACAAAAGGCTGGTGTTGAGGAGGAGGGATTCAATCATGAAACAATGCCTGTTCCATTATTCCATTAATTGAAAGGGTATCTGGATGTTTTCCTAATACCCATAAATGATACTGACTCTAAGGAGGTTGCACTAATCTGATTACCAAAAAAAAAAACTGATGCCATGAGAAATGCAGAGAGTCGCATATGAATAGCACAAATAAAATTGTAATTGTAAGCATGCTTAAATTAATGTTGACTGCTTATATGACAAGCCCATACCTATTCCATTCATTCATATTGTATATTTTCTTTTCTCATACTATTGTATATCCATGCAGAGAGTAGGTAAGGGTAAATGGGATCACTGGAAGAAAATGCTGTCTGCAATTGGAATATTTATAGGTTCAAGGTGTCACATTTACCCCCCCTCAATTATATATCCCTTGGTTGCAGCACCATTTGCCTGTTTATCACACTTACCCTATTCATGATCACACTTCTCTGTGAAAAGTGTGATTAAAAAAATAACCTTTCTTATGCAAATGCTATGAATTCACACAGCTTTCAAAATGAATAAATGAAAGTGACATAATATGAGGGTAACAGTTTGACAGTGGTATGTGCAAAATTACTTGACCCTTTCCACTTTGTTTTTTTCTGCAACACTATGACCAATGACGAACCCAGTTCAACAAAGGAATGGAAAGAGTTGATTATGTCAGCCATCAAACAGTTTTTCTAATAATTGAAAAAGAAAAGTTATTTTATTACCACACTTACCCTGGAAGATCTTACCTCTGACCTTTTTGATGGGCAAAACTGTTTGCATGATTCATTCAATATGATTGGCTTAATGGGCTCAAAAATCACCCTTCAGTTCACATGAAAGTGTCAGTTGTGTGATTGTGAGCTTCTCTCTCTCAAGGTGGTTGCGGACAATATCCGTGATTCTGTTCCTGAACAAGCAGGACATTCTCAAAGAGAAGGTAACAGCAGGGAAATCTCGATTAGAAGACTGGTTTCCAGATTTTGCCTCATATCATACTCCACAAGATGCAAAGGTCGAGGAGGGTGAAACGCCTCAAGTTGTTCGCGCCAAGTATTTCATCCGCGATGAATTCCTGGTGCGTTTCAACTGCATTTCATTAATACTCTTTCCTCCTTCCTGGTCAGCTCTGGTCTGCTTCATTAGCCCAGATATGCCTGGCATCCTATATGTAGGACAGTGTGCAGAGATATGCATGAAAAATTCTCCAAAGGTTTACATGTCAGTTATGTTACTCAGAATTATCTAGCCAAACATTAAATGCTTGGTTTAAACATGTTAATGTCTGGCCAGATAATTCTGAGTAACATAATTGACATGTGAACCTTTAGAGAATTTTTAATGCAGATCATGTAGTCCTACATATATGATGCCAGGCATATCTGGGTTAAAGTCATGAATTGGATGCTGAATGTTGTATTTTTATGTGAGTAGCTAATATTTCTCAAGATTGCTTGAATTTACATTTAGAGGTCTATCTTGTTACTTATCACACTGCAAATACTTAAAGAAATCTCATCCCAATGCTTACTCTGACTGAACATCATGGACTATTAATGGTTGATGTTTGCAGGAAAGAAAGTTGCACTCCAGCGAGAGTGAGCTAAGACAGTGCCATTCTCTAACTTCCAAGTAGCCTGGCAGGTTTATGTTCCTGTCTGAGTCTCATCAGTTTCCATGAGATGTATATGTTTTGAAGTTTGATACATTTTTTACCATGTACTTCCATGTTGCTATCTTCTTGTTGCAGAGAATCAGCACATCAAGTGGTGATCAAAGACACTTTTGTTACCCTCATTTCACATGTGCAGTGGACACGAATAATATCCGACGGGTGTTTAGTGACTGCCGAGACATCATCCAGCGGATGCATCTACGTCAGTACGAGCTGTTGTGATGGATGCATGCACTGTACGGTAAATGGCAGTGCGCTTCCTTCCCTCCCTCCTTGCCTGCCTGCCCCAGCTGCCTGCCTATGTTCACAAATGTGCACCCCACGGGCGCAGAGCAAACCAACACTACCTTCTACCAGTGGGCATCCATGGGGAGTGGTAGAGGAAGTTGATGATGAATTCTGAGCATAAATGCAAGAGTGAGCTGCTAATGTGTGTATGTGCACACATGTGCACATGTGTGTGTGTATCTGTGAGAGCATGTGAGTGTGAGTGGGTGGCTGGCTGTGTGCGTGTGTGTGTTGGAATGCTCCAAGCAACTACCAGTGATATAAAAGTCAAGATGGGAAAGATAATGATTCTGACAAAAAAAAAAAGGGAAGAGAGAAATTTCTTTTTCTATATTTAGTGGAGATGGATACTTAGGAGGAGGAGGAGAAGAGAAAGAAAAGGAATGGTTGAAATTTTTAAATGGAAGGGTGGAGAACTGGAGAAGGGATGGCTGGCCAGGGAAATCTGAGCAATGTCAACCTGACACCATCGATGTCTGTGATTCCTCCCCCTGACCCTAGGTCATACTGACTTGTAATCCTCTTCCTACGTTGGATTCTGTGCCAGCATCTGACTATTAGATATGTGTGCCATACTTCACTTTCTTTCCCCTTCCCTCTCCTGGCTTTGCTTCATTTCCCCCTTCCCCATCCAATGTGAAGGATGCTTTGTGAACTAGTCACTCATGATAGTCGACATGGATTGATTTTTTAATTTTAAATTTTCACATTTTAATTGCAATTAATGTGATCATTGCTATTCTGTCTCTGTATTGTATCCCGTGACTCTAATGCTGCTTGAATCCATCCATTCTATGCAATGGGTGTAGTGGAGAGCAAATTTCCCCATCCCCATGCACCCAAACTGACCAGCATCCCTTTCGTACGTCTTGCGTTTTCTGACCCGCTCTCACTGCAATGAGGCACTGATTGGCAAACAGTGAGCGTGCCTACCACACATTTAGGATGTCAAGGGCTGTGTATCTTGAGAGAGAACCTTTTCTGATGAAAACGCTTACAGTCAATGTACACGTATAATTGCGAATAAATTAAAATGTCTATTTAGAACCTTGGCAGGCAGGTCATTTGCAATCCTTTCATCATGAAAGTCCCCATTCTTTGGAATCCTTACACATCAGAGAACATTTTCATGAATGTTGGTTTTGGTTTGTCACCACAACTGAATTCCTTGTCCCCCTTCTGGCAGCTGCTGGACTACTTGCGCAGACACATCGCACTAGGAATGACTTTTCCACTTGATTTATCATGAAGAATAAAGTTCCATCAGAAAGCTGGAGTCATTGGAAAAGTGTGGCGAAGATCAGACTACATCCATCATTCATGGAAAAGTTTGTTTTGGCACAGGGATCCAGAAGTGATCTCATGAGATGAGCCAGGCATATTGTCATGTCTACATATGAAGTGAATCAGGGAAATTACATTGTGTCTATTCAGAATCACAGAACCATTGTCTTCATGTTAGCATACACATCTTCCACCATCATTATATTGTAATACAGTTGGCCATGCCATCTTTCAATTCCAACACATTGGGAAGTCCTGGAATGTGTTTTAATGCCTAATGTTTCTGCTTTATCTCAAACAAACTCTACATCATGCCCTTGGCAGGTATGATACAGGAAGCCTTCTGGAAGTACAATTGCATTCTGGTATCCCAGTTGAGGTATTAGTTGGAGGTCTCTTGAAGTGGCAAAAATTTTGTCCTCAACAGCATAGGAATATTTTTTCTGACACAACTAGCAGCACTAGATGAGGGCAGCTGAAATACTTCCTTCCAGCTGAAGTTGGTTTGTCTTACGCAGCCTCATCAATTTGAAGGATACTCACGATTGACGAGACATATTCGTCCCTGGATCCAGACTACTGAGGGGGCAGCAGAGCTGCCTTCAAAGAAGTAATCAAAATTCATACACAATATGGTTCTGAGTTAATGTGTTCCTTTTGACTGCACAGTAGGCCAATGCATCTTAGCAAAAATTCAAGAGCGCTTATTCTTCCCTCTCCTTAAACATGGTTATTCAAAAGCGCATGTACCATTTGTGACTTTAAATTCTTGTATGCAAATTCCGAATGGTAAATAGGACTTTCCACAAGGTGATAATGCTACAAAAGTTTCATAAAAAAATATTTACTGTGATATTGTACCCTTTACTATGGTATTGCCCAAAAATCCTCATGAAAACATTTAGAATGTGAGGTGTGGTGCTTCCTGGGGAATCTTGTGCTTCATTTCACCCACGATTGTTCGCTGGTAGGGGATATGCTTTGAGAAAAGTGTCCATATGGAATTTGGGTAAAACTTAGGGAGGAAAAAAGGACATATACATCAAAGAAAAATGTTATTCAGTAACTATCTGAATTGCTAATTTTGGTGCAAAGTCCTACTTACCTGGTGTTATTTGCACTATTAAAAAAACAATAGTTACAAATTACTGTTAAATAATCCCTATATCAGAATGATTTTCAAATATGACTTCTGTCATTCCTGTAGGATAACTAATTACTCCTTTTTGATGACTGCGCATTCTGTTCTGTCTGAGTCCTCTGGCATGTAATTCAACACGAGAAACTGATCACAGGCCCGGAGCATAGAGAAGTTAAGTGGGATCTGTGCCCTAACTAGTGCTTAATTTCTCCACGGCTATTCATTGGACGTTGTTTGCTCTCTAGAGCACCGACATATCCATTTCCATAGTACACAATACACTGGTTGCCTTCATGCAGCCTAAGCGTGATATTTCTCTAGCTAATAGAGTGTGCATTTGTGGTGGTTATGAGATAGGCTTAAGCTATGGTTACGATCACCCGACAGCCTTTCAGCCATTCTCTTTCCTTTCATTCTAGCTTATCTTCGTTCAAGTGGGATTTCCGAAAAGATCTGTCTACACTGAAGGTTTCAGCAGGACCGTCCCCCTGATGAGGAACCTGCTATTCTTTCAGATCCCAAAGGCTCCTTTCCCTACGTTCTTTGTTTAAAAATGAAGTGCCTTTCATTTTGGAGTCGGGTAGTTTGGTTAACCAGCGTTGGGATGATGAATCACATCTATCTAATACTTAGTTGTAATGTCTGTGGTTGCCGAGTTTCTCGCGCGCTGCACCATAACTTGATACAATTTTGGTGAAGTTGGTAGAAGAGTGCGTTTTTGCAGCATAAACCTCTAGATGAATCAGAAGGTTTCATTGAAACTAAAGAAAGGGAAATTTTGGTTAGCGTCTGTGGTCAATAAATGTTCGAATGGTGCTGTCCTGGTCTGGCATTCTTCAATATTCCTAGTCACTGAAAGTAACCAGGTTTTACATCTTGAGATCTTCCCCATAGCTTTCGTCTGTCATGAACTTAATAATAAAGAGAGAAGAATGGAAAGTTAAGCGCGTGGATAGGAGCGGACCTTTGCACATCTTTTTTTAGTGCTCGTGTATTCTACTTAGTGCAGTTTTTGTGTACAGTGTACAGCAACTAGTATAAGGAGCTTGTTTTCTATTTAATATCAAAGTTTTCCTCGTGCTATGAATGAATATTGCACCTCTAGCGGTATAGCTACTTGGCGAGGTAAAGAAAATTAATTGCATTTTTGCTTGTTTGTTACTTTTTAAAATAATGCACTTAACTGAATTCTCAGCAGCTTATTTCTTTCGATGCAGTTTAAGTGATCCGCCCAACTGCATTCCATTCACCCAGCATTCTTTATTCAAGTGTTCTTGGCTTCGCATCACCATGTGGTGTTACTAGATACCCCTTTCAGCTACAAAATATGCACCACAGCACCTCAGCACAGCTTTGCATTCAGCCAAAACTCGGAGGGGGAAGGAGTCTGTGGGCCATATATTGCGCATACAACTTACCAACAATATTCATTAATTTAACTTCATGATTGGGATGATTGAATCAGCTTCATGCATCAGACTGGTGCATGCTAAGCATTCCAAGTAACCTACGTCGATCAAACGATCGAGTAACTTGGAGTTTCCTTCCGAGATTTAATCTCGGAATGGTTTTTGTTGTTGAACACTCTAATGGTGGGATTGCGAAGGGGTCTGAGGGGAAAAGGAAAGTAACCGGCGTCATCAATGGCGCCGCCCTCTTCTCCTTCATTCCTTGGCTATTCGTAAGTTTTCTCTGCATTTCCTCATCCTGTGACCTTGAAACTTTGCCCTGTTTTTTCTTAAGAATATTTACGAGTTCCTGTTCCACGCTTCGCTGATAAACTCTCTCAGGATAACCGTTTTTAGGAGTTAGTGCGAGCCCTTCCTCTCGCCTCCATCTAAATTACCCTGTTTGGTAAGTTTTTATTCTGTTAATTTTCATTCCACGCCCTTGAAACTCTATTCAATTTCATGACGCTCTGCTTCAAGCTTGTGTGCCAAATTTCATTAAGATCGCTCCGGTCTTTGGTGGAGCTTCTTTTGACGATGAGAATATTTTGGACCCTGAATTGAACACGTGACTTTGGATTTCAGTTCCAAAGTAAGTGCTCTATGTTGCTATGGCATGTTTGACAGATTTAAAGAAATTGTAGCACCTGTCTTATTGTCAAGTTCCTACTTGACACAATTTTCCAGATTTTATATTGGGTAAGTAATACAATTTATCAAGGTTCTCAGGGTTATTGTCTATATAGCACATTGAGTTCGGATCTATTTCTGCTGCATTAATGCACTAGAATTTAGCTTTTTCACGTTGATATGGATCTTGAATCTAGAAAGTCTTTGTACTGGATGCTTAACGATTCAGGAGTTGATGACGCCAATGAAGCAGATGTAAGTAGCTGAAGAGAGCCGCAACAAAGATTACAAGACGTTCATTCATGCGAGATCGTCGGCGTTCCGATATGTCCGTTGTAAGGGTTAGATAATCGTTACCTCAACATTACTAGCAGTTCCGGTGCGATCAGTATCGTAGAACAAGGCAGGGCATCAATGTTAACAAATACTTGTATATATTGACAATGAAGAAGTCAACAGTGTCAGGTTGAAAAGACGAAATCGTGATAAGGCGATTCCACTTTCTGCCTCCCGAGTAGGGGCCTCGTACTCCTTCCTGCTGATGAGCAGATGGAACTACCTGAACAGAAGCAGCCTTCTTTGGTTATCGTGGCTCTCTTTGTAACATCTCAGTAAAAGTATCTGGGATGGGAGAGAGAAGGGAACTTGCCATCCTCCATGATAGTTCTCATCCATCGGTTGCTCGATTCCACGAAATGACCAAGAAAAACAAGACCCTTATCCCCAACGGATATCCTTCATCCTGCAGTGGATCGAGAAGGGCTGATGATGATGATCTACTGACGACATCTGACCCTATCATCTCAATCATGCGTATTTCTTTCATAATAAAAAAAGTCCTACAAGATTCGTTCCGAATGGATGTTGTCAAGTGTGTCCTTTCATCTCGAATAAGGAAACTCTAACGGAGAACAACAGTGATGACAGCAACCAGTAATTTTAGGCAAATTGAGGAAATGTGCAGGAAAGGGAACAAGTGCCCTTGTCCCTTTTTTTGCCATAAAACGCGCGGATCGGTAGTAAGGAACTGCGTCAAGTGGTTGATAGTACTCGAAATTCGAAATAAGACTTTTCCCTTGAGGGTCTGGCTGGGAATAGTTCTTTTACAGTATAATGCCCATGCTCCTCCCCCCTCGAAGATGCTGACCAAAGAGGGAGAAAAGTGGAAGTGTTGTGCGAGTCCTGAGCCTTCAGCCGCTTTCATTTTTGTGCTGTATAGACCGATGCTGCGCAACTCCTCTTCAACATGAACTTCTATTTTAGACAAATAAAGTTAGGTTTGGAAAATTAGCAGTACGGTGATATGTCCTTCATAGCACGAATTTCAACGAATAGCGTCACTCGATGAGTAAGTATTTTCATAAACCGGCCTCATAAGCAACGGCTTCTTGAACATTTCACCACCCAGTCGATATCGCTAGAAAACACCAACCTGCGGGCTTCTTGAACAAAAAGGATGGGCAGAAACCGGTAGTGGAGTGTTGTATGTTCGGAATATCTTTTCAGTTGCCGCGTACCTGCAGAAGTCGGGGTTTCTAAGGATCGATCTTTGTCCTCCAGATACAGTAGACATCGCCTCCAGTATCTGGAGGAAGATCTAGCAGCCCTACCGAACCTGAGTTGTCAGATTTCACTCTCAAATGTTAGCCATCAGATGTTAGGTCATCAGCTATTTTCTGTTCATTACTGGACATCCACTTGCCTCCAAAGACGTTTTACGATTC